ATACTAGAGTAAGTTGTAAGGGTTTTGAAATTTTTAGACAATTCCATGAGTCAGTGATCCATGACTAGTGGAAAATGACAGTTCAAACACTCTGTTAGTCTATGAAAGATTCCAGAAGATTAAAAAAAACAACAACCCACCATTAGTATATGGAGATGAATCCACCCTAAACAAAACAACTGCAACAATAAAGTACATATTTTCTTTTATATGCTGAAAAATATGTAAGTATAGACAAGAGAGAATACTAAGGACTTCCCTGGTGCCGCAGTGGTTAAGAATCTGCCTGCCAATGCAGGGGACAGGGGTTCGAGCCCGGGTCGGGGAAGATCCCACATGCCGCGGAGCAATCGATCCCGTGCGCCCTACTACTGAAGCCCCCCGTGCGTAGATCCCGTGTCACCGAAATGGGAAGCCACCGAAATGAGAAGCCTGGGCACCGCAACGAAAAGTAGCCCCCCATTCGCCGCAACTAGAGAAAGCTGGTGCGCAGCAACGAAGACCCAACGCAGCAAAAAAAAAAAAAGAAAGAAAAAAAAGAAAAAGAAAAATGAATGAATACTAAACATCACTTAATATTAAGAGGTAAAAAAAAAATTAAGAGATGAGAACTATTTACATGGGACAGGCATGGGAAAGATAATTCACAGTATACATTTTATGTGTATTTTTAAAGCATGTATTATCTATTTTAAAAACTTAAATCTATTTAATTAAAATGGAATCATAAGTCAAGTTTCTTAAATTCCTGAGTTTTCAAAAATTTCTTTGTATTTCATACATTTTTTGTTAGTGCACACGTTTTATTTACATATATATTTACCATATACTGTGGTAAAATATAAATTTTACCATTTTAAACTTTTTTCATATTTTCTAAAAGATTTCTTCCCCCCCTTTTATTGAGATATAATTGACATATAATACAACACTGTACAAGTTTAGGTGTACAACATAATGATTTGATATATGTATATACTGCGAATATATTTAATTTTTTTGAATGGGAAATAAAAACATCAAAAAATATTAAAAAGGTAAACGATCTCCTGCATGCTAGCTTGAGGAGCTTCACAGATCCACTTCTTAGTGAAACTGGTGAAAAGTATTAAAAAACAATCATTTAAAGTCTCTGGAAATAGTCTCAAGGGCATACAGTAAATGAGGAAACAACCATTGAAAAAAATCTATGAGTAAATTCGGTTAGAACAGGGAGCTGGTATGTGTTATCTCCTCCCTCCCTCCTTTATACCAGTTCAGCGAGATGGAAACTCCAGTCCAGACTGGAGTAACCAGTAGCAAGAGGTTGCTCCCCAGTCGGAGGGCTAACTTCTCAGGAGGGGCAGCATTCTACTCACAGCTACCTGTGTTGAGGCTTAGTTACAGACAAGTGCAGCTCTTCAAAGAGAGAATAACTGAGAATTTGCCAAAATTATGGAAAGACCACAATCCTCAGATCCAAGAAGTCCAGGGAATCCCAAACAGGATAAATTAAAATTATTAGATACATCATGTGAAATTGCAAACTGGCAAAGATAAAGGAATAATTTTTAAAGGAAACCAGAAAGACAAAAACAGATCTCAAGAAATAGCATTTACATTTACATTACAATATCACTTACTATTTCTTAAGTGATAATAGAAGCCACAAGTGGAATAAGTTCAATGTGCTAAGAGAAAATAATTGTCAACCTAGAATTCTATATTCAGTGAAACAATTTTTCAAGCACCAGGGCAAAATAACTTTCTTTTAGGTAAACACAAATTCAGAAAGTTTATCAACACAGGGTTCTTATTATTGAAAAAAGTGTCAAAGAGGTACTTCTGACAAACAGAAATTGATCTGAGATCTGTGAGTAGAAGTTATAAGCAAAGATATTGCTATATATGTGAATATATTTATAAGCATTGATTGCATAAAACAACAAGAACAACAATAATGCCAAATTTGTGAGGAAAAAAAACCCGATCAAGATATCAAACACTGGACAGACAAGCCTTCTGAGTTCTGAGTTCAACTGTCTAGAAACCTTAAGTTGATTGGGACCATGGTAAAGGTAAAAATCTACAATTTGTTAAGTATGCCACTTAAAACTGCTAGAGCATCTACCACAAAAATATGAAGTGCACAGAAGTTTCATAAAATAAGAGGGAAAATGAATTGAGAAAAATTTTTTGATTGATTCAAAAGAAGGCAAGAGAGATGGGAAAGAAAAAACAAATATAAGAACCCACAGAAGCTACAAGAATAGAAAGCCTGTAAAAAGATGGTATCAGATCCATTATAAATGTATATTGGTAACCATTATAAATGTAAATCGACTAAACTTGTCAATAAAAGGCAAAGATCGTTGGAACGGTGGAAGAGTACAAAAATCCAGCTTTTTGTTGTTTTCTAAATATACACAAACGAGACAGAAAATTTCTAAATAGTGGGATATACAAAAATATTTAAGGGTTATCACAACAGGAAAGTAATTGGAGAGGTTATTTTATTTCCTTTTATTATTTATTTATTTATAAAAATATTAAAATATTTATCTATTTATTGGCTGCATAGGGTCTTAATTGCGGCACGTGTGATCTCTCGTTGTGTCTCACGGGCTCTTCGTTGCGGTGAGTGGGCTTCTCTCTAGTTGTGGAGCACTGGCTCCAGAGTGTGTGGGCTCAGTAATTGCGGCGCGCGGGCTTAGTTGCCCCGCGGCATGTGGGTTCTTAGTTCCCTGACCAGGGATCGAACCCTCGTCTCCTGCACCGGAAGGCGGATTCTTAACCACAGGACCACCAGGGAAGTCCCCTGGAGTAGTATATTTTTTTAAATTTATTTAACGTATTTATTTTTGGCTGCGTTGGGTCTTCATTGCTGTGTGCGGGCTTTCTCTAGTTGCGGGGAGCGGGGGCTACTCTTCGTTGCGGTGTGGGGGCTTCTCATTGCGGTGACTTCTTTTGTTGCAGATCACGGGCTCTAGGTGCGTGGGCTTCAGTAGTTGTGGCTCGCTAGCTCTAGAGCACAGGCTCAGTAGTTGCAGCACACGGGCTTAGTTGCTCCGTGGCATGTGGGATCTTCCCGGACCAGGGCTTGAACCCATGTCCCCTGCATTGGCAGGTGGATTCTTTAAACACTGAGCCACCAGGGAAGTCCCTGGAGTAGTTATTTTAATATCAAATAAAAAGAGATACACGGGCTTCCCTGGTGGCGCAGTGGTTGAGAGTCCGCCTGCCGATGCAGGGGACACGGGTTCGTGCCCCGGTCAGGGAAGATCCCACATGCCGCGGAGCGGCTGGGCCTGTGAACCATGGGCGCTGAGCCTGCGCGTCCGGAGCCTGTGCTCCGCAACGGGAGAGGCCACGACAGTGAGAGGCCCGCGTACCGCAAAAAAAAAAAAAAGAATACCATGACCAAGCTGGATTTATTTCAGGAATGGATATAAAATGTATATAATAAATTAGAAAGTAAATATTATATGATTGGACTTTCTTTTCATTGTTTTTTTTTGGCCCCCTCCAAATCACAGCCTCGCCAGTAGTGACACTAATCCCTCCAAACCTTTAGGCCTTTTTAAAGTTCAGTCCCAGAGGTGGAGGGCATTAGCTGGTACTACTGAGAAGGGGAAGACGGAGGTAGGTAGGCAAGCTTGGGAAGACAATCATGAATTCTGCTTTAGACATGTGGAGTTTGGATTTCTACAGATGCCCACTGGGGGTGTCAAGGAGGCATCTCTCAAGAGGAGATGGGAGTTCAGGAGAGAAGACTATGCTGAGAATAAAAATTTGGGTATTGTCAATGTATAGAGGGTTTTTAAAAAAAATAAATTAGTTTATCTTATTCATTTATTTTTGGCTGCTTTGCCTCTTCATTGATGCACGCTGCAGCTTTCTCTAGTTACAACGAGCGGGGGCTACTCTTCGTTGTGGTACAAGGGCTTCTCATTGCGGTGGCTTCTCTTATTGCAGAGCACAAGGCTCTAGGCGCGCAGGCTTCAGTAGTTGTGGCTCGCGGGCTCCAGAGTGCAGGCTCAGTAGTTGTGGTGCACGGACTTACTTACTCCGCGGTATGTGGGATTTTCCCAGACCAGTTCTCGAACCTGTGTCCCCTGCATTGGCAGGCAGATTCTTAACCACTGCACCACCAGGTAAGTCCTGTATAGAGGTTTTTAAAAGCATCATATCAATTACAGGATATGTGATACACAGTCATCGGTGGTGGAGGGCTTTTAAGATTGGGGGTCAGGAGCAACTGACGGTGAAAATATGAGCCAGTTGTGGGAATATCAGATGAGTGTTGCTGACAATGGCAATAACAAGTTCAAAGGTCCTGAGGTGGGCTTCATTGGTGGGCGCTTTCCAGACGTGGACTCAGCGAGGACTCCACCACACTGAGAAACTGGTCGCATTAGCCCAAGGCTTCTAGGTCAGGCTCTGGCTGAGATCAGCGGGGCTTTCGGCGGGTGGTCCCGAAAGGAAGGCTTCTGGGGCAAACGCGCCCTCTGCTGGCCAGGTCAGATATCAGCTCCATTTCCAACCATAAGATTATTAAAGTATTAATATATATCTATACTGTTATTATTATTATTATTAGTGGGTTAGGACCCAGGTTGTATCCCTGGTCGGGGAACTAGGATCCCGCAAGCTGAGAGGGGCGGCCAAAAAAAAATTGACAAAAGATTACGTCAGGCACTGTGTAAAAATCTATATACATCCATCCTGTCATTCAGTATTCGCAACGTCCCTATGTCTAGATACTATTATTCGCCCCATTTGATGGAAGATAAAATTATAGCTAGAGAAGCTTTTACTTCGAGGAATTGGCAGGAACGGGCCTCCAAACCAAGACAATTTTAATACTTCGCAGCAGTGTGCTGCCTGTGGGAACTAACTGGGCGCAGCGCAGAGACAAGCGCGCAGACGTCCGTTTCCATGGTTCATCTGACGCTCTCCCAAAGCTTCGGCCCGCGTCGCGCGCCACGTGACCGCAGCCAACATGGCGCCGCCCAGGGTGTTCCACGGACCACGTGGTTCCGGCAGGCAAGATGGCGGCAGTTGTCAGCCCGACATCCTTGGAGTCGGCTCCGCGCATCATGAGATTGGTGGCCGAGTGTAGCCGCTCTAGGGCCCGGGCAGGGGAGCTGCGGCTGCCACATGGGCCGGTGGCTACTCCAGTGTTCATGCCAGTGGGCACGCAGGCCACCATGAAGGGCATCACGGCCGAGCAACTGGACGCGCTGGGCTGCCGCATCTGCCTGGGCAACACCTACCATTTGGGTCTGAGGCCGGTGGGTGGGCTGTGCCCCGGGCTGGGCGGTGGCGAAGCGTGGGGGAGCCCAGGAGATTCCCTAGACCCGGGCACGCCTCCTAAACTCTATCGACAAAACGCATATCGAGAGTCCCGGATGGCTCAGGCCTTGTGCTGGGCGTGAGGGACCAGCGAGGATGGAAGTTGGCCAACCCTGTCGCCCCAATATGAGCCCCAAGGGTTGCCCTCACCCCTAGCCTGACCCTTCTTCCCCCACCCCAGGGCCCCGAGCTGATCCAGAAAGCCCGCGGTCTCCACGGCTTTATGAATTGGCCGCACAACCTGCTGACGGTAAGGCGGGGTCAGCGCCGGGATCCGAGAGCCCTCCTTGGGCGTGGATTTTCCCAGTCCCGTTCTTGTCAGCCCTGCGGTGGGGTTTCCCTCAGGACAGCGGCGGCTTCCAGATGGTGTCCCTGGTGTCCCTGTCCGAAGTGACGGAGGAGGGCGTCCGCTTCCGCTCCCCTTACGATGGTGACGAGACCCTTCTGAGCCCCGAGAGATCCGTGGAGATCCAGAACGCGCTGGGTGAGCGGGTACCGGGGAGCCGCCCCTTCCCCTGCCTTTCGGAGGTGGAGGTGAGGCGGGCCTGCTCTTTTCGTGCTGCTCGGCTTTGGGCAAGTCACTCCCCCTCCCTGAGCCTCAGCTGAGGGGATAGTTCACAAAAATAACGATGTAATGTCAGTAAATCTCTTATCACAATGCCTGACATGTAATAGTAGCTTTTCGTATTATCTTTCTTGTTACTGTTACTCTTAAATAGTAAATTAGCTGGGCAAAGATATGTTGAAATAATGGGGGCAACAAAGGAGGTATCGGGGAGGCTTTAGACCCCTCCCATCTCCATCAATATCCCCTATTCCTTGATAAGGACAATTAACATTTCTCAATCTCATAAAGTGCTATGGAAACAGGTTCAAAACTTCCCATCTTCCAAACAGACTGGTGCTTTTAGACCCCTCTATGTACAGATTCTGTGGCTTCTGCTTATAGCAATGGGCCTGGGTGCTGGTGCCATACCATCCGTGGAACTTACAGTCCAAAAGGGAGACAGGCACTGGTGAAAACATCTTAATTAGAAAGGCGGAAAAAAGAGAAAAAAAAAACCCCAAAAAACAGTGCAGGTAGAGTGCATTGTATATTTCCATTTGTATTGAAAAAAAAAACCCCAAATCCCAAACACATGATTTGCTTACGGTATCTCAGGAAAGAAAAATAAGAAACTATTATAGGTTCTCGGAGGGAAGGGAACTGAAGAGCTGGGTAGACAGGGAGCATTTAAATTCTTTTCCTTTTTAAAAAATTGGGATATAATTGACATGCAATAAACCGCACATATTTAAAGTGTACCCTCTGGTACGTTTTGACATATGTATACACCCATGAAACCTTCACCATAATCAAGATAGTGAACATGTCCATCACCCCTAAAGGGTTACTTGTGCCCCTTTGTAATCCTTCCCTTCGTGGGCAAGAGACTTTTCACCAAATATCCTGTTGTATTTTTTTAAATTGGAGGTGCATTTAACATTTTGAATAATTATATATTATTATTAAAATAAGTTATTAGGGAATTCCCTGGTGGTCCAGTGGTTAGGACTCTGTGCTTCCACTGCAGGGGGCACGGGTTCGATCCCTGGTCAGGGAACTAAGATCCTGCAAGCCACATGGTGCAGCCAAAAAAAAAAAAAAAAATTTGTTTTAAAGGCACAAATAGATATAAGGTTGGGACCCTGACCTGACTGTGAAGGCCAAGTACATGGGACTTTTGGCATGATTCAGTCTGTAGGCTTAGGGAATGTTGCCCTAGGCCTAAAACCTATATGGATGAGGAGGAATAAACTAGATGTCCAAAGGGGGGAAGTATGTTCTGGAAAGAGGAAGCAGCCAGTGCAAAGGACCTGAAGCAGGACCAAGACTGGCATGGCTGGAGCTGAGTGGGGTAGGGGGAGTGTGTGTGTGTGTGTGTGTGTGTGTGTGTGTGTGTGTGTGTGTAGGGTGAGGACAGGGAGGTGTTGGGGACAGGTCCTACAGGACCTTGTGAGTTTTGGTTTGTCCTTTAAAGAAAAAACTTGAACAAGAAAACATTTTGTATATATTTCTATATAAAGATGTGTGCAGGAAACAGTGGTCTTCCCATGCCTATATTCTATCCATCTCTTTCACAAGTCACCACTGTTTCTAGTTTCTTATGTATTCTTCCAGAGTTTATGTAAATACAAGCAGGTTCAAATCTATTCTTATTTTTTCCATGATGAGAGCATGCTATTTATGGCACATTCTTCTGTACCTTGCATTTTTATTAATTTTGGAAAGTTTCAAGTATATACCAAAATAGACACAACCCCATTGACCTGTCACCCAGCTTCAACAATCACCAGGTCACAGCCATTATGTTTCATTAGTATCCCAGCCCACTTTGCTTCTCCCATGTTATTTTCTGTTGGAATTTGCCTAAGATTGGTGTTATGTTTCATAGAATTGTCCAGTAAATCCCCCTGGGCCTGGAGTTTTGTTGTGGTAAGGTTTTTAATGATGAATTCGATTTATTTGACATTTTGATTTGGCTATTCAGATTTTGTGTTTCATTTTGGGTCAGATTTGATAAGTTGGATTTTTCAGGGAATTTGGCCATTCCTTGAACTTTATTTCAACTTTCTTGGCATAAAGTTGATCATTAATGTTCTCTTATTAACCTCTTAATGTTATAGTGCCTGTAGTGATGTCTCCTTTTTCATTCCTGATGTTAAAACCTTGTGATCTCTTCTTTCTTGATGTCTGTTAGGGGTTTATTGATTTCGAGTTTGTTGATCTTTTCCAAAAACCAACTTCTAGCTTATTCATTTTCTTCATTTGTTGGTTTTCTGTTTTGTTGACTTCTTTGTTTTTTTTTTTTAAATGACTTTATTGAGATATGATATACAGACAATTCACGCATTTAAAATGTACAGGTTGGGACTTCCCTGGAAGTCCAGTGGTTAAGACTCCGTGCTACCAATGCAGTGGGCACAGGTGTGATCCCTGGTCGGGGAACTAAGATCCCACATGCTGCACAGTGCGGCCAAAGATTAAAAAAAAAAAAGATCAAAAATAAATAAATATAAAATGTACAGTTCAGTGGTTTTCAGTGTATTCACAGAGTTGTACAACCATCACCACAATCTAATTTCAGAACACTTTTATCACCCCAGAAAGAAATCTTGTATCCATTATCAATCACTCCCTATTCCTCCCTCCTCCAGTCCTATGTAATCTACTTTCTGTCCCTATAGATTTGTGTATTCTAGACATTTTATGTAAATGAAATCATGCAATAGGAGGTCTTTGTGAATGGCTTCTTTTACTTAACATAATGTTTTTCAGGTTCAGCTATGTTGTAGTGTGCATCAGTACTTTATTCCTTTTTATAGCCAAATAACATACTAGCTAATAGATATGCTTCATTGATTTTATTTTAGTTTTTGATAGTTGCAATCTTATGTATCTTGTTTATTTTTAAATTTTTAGCTAGTTTTGCATTGGTTTTCTTTTTCTAGCTTCTTAGTCTCCGTAGATCATCTGTATTATATCGAACGGAATCTCAGACGTCCTACCACTTCACCTCTAAGTATTTTAATTTTTATCTCCAAAACATAGTTTTTTTAAAAAAAGTATTTATTATTTTTGGCTGTGTTGGGTTTTCGTTGCTGTGCACGGCTTTCTCTAGTTGCGGTGAGCGTGGGCTACTCTTCGTTGCAGTGCACAGGCTTCTCATTGCAGTGGCTTCTCTTGTTGCGGAGCACGGGCTCTAGGCACGCAGGCTTCAGTAGTTGTGGCTCACGGGCTTTAGTAGTTGTGGCTCGCGGGCTAGAGTGCAGGCTCAGTAGTTGCAGCACACGGGCTTAGTTGCTCCACGGCATGTGCGATCTTCTTTGACCAGGGCTCGAACCCGTGTCCCCTGCATTGGCAGGTGGATTCTTAACCACTGCACCACGAGAGAAGACCCATAGTTTCTTTTTTTTTTTTTTAAACATAATCACAATACCATCATCCCACCTACAAACAATTAACAATAATTCATTAACATCATCAAATATCTGGCCAGTGTTCAACGTTCCAGTCATTTCATAAATGTCAGTTTTTCTTACAGTGTGTTTACTTCAGGATCCAAATAATGTGCAGATACTGCAGTTGTTTGAAAGATCTCGTCTTTTTTAATATATTATATATATTACATATCATATAGTTTTGCCTTCCAATTCCATTTTTTTTTTTTTAGCAATTTGCTTTTTCTTTTTGCTTCTTTTTTTTTCTCATTAAATTTTTTTTTTTTTTGGCCGAGCCGAGCAGCTTGTGGGATCTTAGTTCCCCAACCAGGGATGGAATCCATGCCCCCTGCAGTGGAAGCCCAGAGTCGTAATGATTGGACTGCTAGGGGATGCCCCAGCAATTTGCTGCTTCTTTTTTTAAAAAAGATTTATTTATTTATTTATTGTGGCTGTGTCGGGTCTTAGTTGTGGCACGCAGGATCTTTCGTTGAGGTGCACGGGCTTCTCTATAGTTGTGGTACACGGGTTCCAGAGCGTGTGGGTTCAGTAGTTGCAGTACACAGGCTCTCTAGTTGTGGTGCGTGGGCTCAGTAGTTGTGGTGCATGGGCTTAGTTGCCCCGCGGCATGTGGGATCTTAGTTCCCTGACCAGGGATCGAACCCACGTCCCCTGAATTGGAAGGCAGATTCTTAACCACTGGACCACCAGGGAAGTCCCAGCAATTTGCTTCTTGAAGAAACTGGTTCCTTTGCCCTATAGTGTTTCACCGGGTCTGAATTTTGCTGGTTGCATCCCCTGGGTGTCGTGTAATAGTTTTCCTCCACCCTCTAGATTTCCTGTAGGTTGGTACTTGGATCTAGAGGTTAGAGCCAGATTCAAGTCCTTCTTCCTTTTGGCAAGAAGTCTTCACAGTGTGTCTGTCCATCAGGGGGCATCTGATGTCTGCCTGTCTCTCCCAGTGAGCTGTCATGCTCCTCCCCAGGAACCATTATTAGGAATTGCAAACCGGTGATGTTCCAATTCTGTCATCCTTTCTTCATTTATTAGCCAGATTACTTCTGTAAAGAGAAACATTTCTCACCTACTCCTGGGAGACCAAGCAGTTTAGTTCACACAGGAAGAGTGGGATTCATTCTTTTCCCTCATTTACTAGTTTTTATGGGTTGATTACGTAGCATCTTCTAGCAATGATAAACTAATGTTTAGTTTTTTAGGATCACCATGCACTCATGGGTTTAAATGTATTTGATACATTTCAATCAATTGCAGTTAAAATCCTTATTGCTTCTCAAATCGCCCCATCTTTGGCTAGTGTGGTACACTGTGCTTTTTTCCTATAATGATACATCTTGGCAATATTTCCTTGCGATTTCTAACCTATAAATCCAGTCTCTAATCTGAAATTCTTGTGGCCGGATAGGTGTCAGAATTCAGAATTCTCACATTTTAGAAAGATAATAAAGGGTACGTACCATTTATTACACAGTACCTCAATTGGGTCTGGGGCAGTACCCTGTGGTATTACACTTCACTTTTTTTTGTTTTTTTCGGTATGCGGGCCTCTCACTCTCGTGGCCTCTCCCGTTGCGGAGCACAGACTCCAGACGCGCAGGCTCAGCGGCCACGGCTCACGGGCCCAGCCGCTCCGCGGCATGTGGGATCCTCCCAGACCGGGGAACGAACCTGTGTCCCCTGCATCGGCAGGCGGACTCTCAACCACTGCGCCACCAGGGAAGCCCACTTCTTTTTTTTCAATTAAAAAAAATTGTGTTAAAATACACATAATATAAAATTTACCATCTTAACCATTTGTTTTTTCTTTTTTTTGGCTGCACTGTGCGGCATGCCGGATCTTAGTTCCCTGACCAGGGATCAAACCCATACCCCCTGCAGTGGAAGTGCAGAGTCTTAACCACTGGACTGCCAGGGAAGTCCCTACACTTCACATTTATTGCATTAACACTTATGAACCTTCACAGTAAATTAGGTTTTTAAAAAGATGACAACTGTTGGGCTTCCCTGGTGGCGCAGTGGTTGAGAGTCCGCCTGCCGGTGCAGGGGACGCGGGTTCGTGCCCCGGTCCGGGAGGATCCCGCGTGCCGCGGAGCAGCTGGGCTGTGGGCCATGGCCGCTGGGCCTGCGCGTCCGGAGCCTGTGCACCGCAGTGGGAGAGGCCACAGCGGTGAGAGGCCCGCGTACCGGAAAAAAAAAAAAAGATGACAACTGTCTCAGGTTTTGCTGCCAAATGAGGATGCCATAAGCATAAGAAAAATCCTATGATTTTGAGAAGTTTCTGGATTTTGGAATTGTGGGAAAGAACCTTCAATTAAGGCCTGGAGCATGGTTTACTTAACTAGACCCCTGTGACACTTGGACTCCCATCTTGCTATTACCCAACACACTGTGAAGAATCACTTGCTACACACGTCATTTGGTTCTTGAAGGGTAAATCTGCAGAGGTGGGATTTTTTTTTTTGGCTGCACCGCACAGGTTGTGAGGTTTCAGTTCTCCGACCAGGGATTGAACCCGGGCCCTCGGCAGTGAAAGCGTCGAGTCCTAACCACTGGACCGCCAGGGAATCCCCGAGGTGGGATTTTATTCTACAGTAGTGCCAGGGCAGGGTTTTAGCTGGGGGGTGGCAAGATCAGATGTGCATTTTGAAAAGCTTCCTCTGGTTGCTGTATAAGCAGATTGGGGATTAAATGGGAGTCAGCAAGACCTGGAGAGGGACCTGGGGTCCAGCTTGTCCTCAGTGTGGGGGCTTTCCCAGTGACTATGTTCCTGTCTCACTCTCCAGGCTCAGACATCATCATGCAGCTGGATGATGTGGTCAGCAGCACTGTGACAGGGCCACGTGTGGAAGAGGCCATGTACAGGTGTGTGTGTGTGTGTGTGTGTGTGTGTGTTGGGAGAGGGAGGGGGAGAGGGAGAGGATCCTGGTCCTGCAGCCTTGTCACCTTACCCCTTACCAAGTCCTTATGGCTTACAACCAGGGTCCTCTTTCAGATCAATCCGCTGGCTGGACCGGTGCATTGCAGCCCATCAGCGGCCGGACAAACAGAACCTCTTCGCCATCATCCAGGGTGGGCTGGATGCGGATCTCCGGGCCACCTGCCTCGAAGGTAAAGCCATGTGCCTACAGGACCAGGGCTTTTCCATTGCAGAGAGCCCCACGTGGGCCTGGCATGCGATGATGCTGAGAGAGTTGGCGGTGTTTTTGTTTTTGTTTTTGGCTGCGCTGCGGCTTGTGGGATCTTAGTTCCCCAGCCAGGGACTGAACCCAGGCCCTCGGCAGTGAAAGTGTGGAGTCCTAACCACTGGACCGCCAGGGAGTTCCCAAGAGTGATTATTATGTGTGTTTTTTTTTTTAAATAGTTTCCTATTTGATGTGGGTTGCTTTGTTTTTGTTTTTGTTTTTTTGCGGTACGCAGGCCTCTCACTGTTGTGGCCTCTCCCGTTGCGGAGCCCAGGCTCCGGATGCACAGGCTCAGCAGCCATGGCTCACGGGCCCAGCTGCTCCGCGGCATGTGGGATCTTCCCGGACCGGGGCACGAACCCGTGTCGCCTGCATCGGCAGGCGGACTCTCAACCACTGCGCCACCAGGGAAGCCCCTGATGTGGGTTGCTTTGAATTTTATTTTTTTCTGATGTTAATATTGCAACCCCTATTTTTATTTATTATTTTTTCTCTCTTTTTAAATTTTTATTTATTTATTTATTTGGTTGCATTGGGTCTTCATTGCTGCATGCAGGCTTTTCTCTAGTTGTGGCGTGCAAGGGCTACTTTTTGTTGCAGTGCATGCGCTTCTCATCGCGGTGGCTTCTCTTGTTTCAGAGTACAGGCTCTAGGCGCACAGGCTTCAGTAGTTGCAGCATGTGGGCTCAGTAGTTGGGGCGCGTGGGTTCAGTAGTTATGACTTGTGGGCTTTAGAGTGCAGGCTCAGTAGTTGTGCGGCACGGGCTTAGTTGCTCCGCGGCATGTGGGATCTTCCTGGACCAGGGATCGAACCCGTGTCTCCTGCATTGGCAGACAGATTCTTAACCACTCCGCCACCAGGGAAGTCCAAGAGTGGTTATTAATTAACAAAAGAGCACTCTAGGTGGAAGGAACAGCTGAAGCAAAGGCCCTCAGGCAGCATGGAGCAGAGTGTGTTTGGAGAATAAAAATTCCAATAGCTATCAATTTTCGGGTGTTCACCAGGCACTATGCCAGACGCTGGTCATGGACTGACCCATTGAGGTTTCATAAAGATCTTGTAAGGTGGGAACTACCAGGTTCCCAAGGTTATAGCAGGGGAAACTGAGGCACAGAGCTGTTAAGTTACTTACGCCCAGCCACACAGCGTGCATGTTGCAGAGCTGGGATTTGAACCCAGACCTTGGGCTCTGGAACCTACAGCATTAACAGATACATGGAGCTGCTCCATCCCTGGGGAGTGAGACATGCAGTCAGTCAGGAGCAAGGGGTTGGGCCCGAGGCATTGTGCTGATGGTGGAGGCCCTGGGACAGCACACCGAAGTGCTGAGGAGCCATGGAAGGCTGTTGAGTGGGAGAGTGGGAGAAAAATCCCAGTGAGATAGGAAGCGTAAGGCCCATAGAGGAAGCTGGAGTAGTTGCCCAGGGGGAGGGTGACAGTGAGGCCTGAACCAAGACCGTGGTCATGGAGACAAAGTGGAGGCAGAGATGGGGGCTCAAAGTCAGTGACGTGTCACGGACAAGACTCTGGGTTCTGGAGTCCACGCAGCTGGATCCAACCCCCTGATCTGTTGCCTCACGGCTGTGCATCCTTAGGCTAGTGGTTTGGCCTCTCTGAGCCTCACTTTCTTCCTCTGTAAAATGGGAACATACTCCCGATGTCATGGGATCGAAGTGAGGAATAAATGGGAACACTTGTTCAAGGTGTCCCGCCTGCACCTGGCATCAGTGTATGCTGTTGTGAAGACTGTCCTGTTGTAATTCCTTTTGTCCTCAAACTGCCCACCACCCCCAGTCTCCACCCCCACCCCTGGTCCAGTAAGTCTTTTTATTTTATTTATTTATTTTTTGTTTGTTTGTTTGTTTTTTGCGGTACACGGGTCTCTCGCTGTGGTGGCCTCTCCCGTTGCGGAGCACAGGCTCCGGATGCGCAGGCTCAGCGGCCATGGCTCACGGGCCCAGCCGCTCCACAGCATGTGGGATCTTCCCGGACCGGGGCACGAACCCGTGTCCCCTGCATCAGCAGGCGGACTCTCAACCACTGCTCCACCAGGGAAGCCCCAGTAAGTCTTTTTAATGGAGACCCACAGTCAGAAGTACATTTCGTGTCATGGCTCCAGATGCGTGCACATATATGAGAGTGGAAACCAAGGCTTCCTGAAGCATTTACCATTATACACGAGATAATCTTTGATACAATATCTTCTGTTCTCATTAAAAAAAAAAACAACAGCAACAACCCTGATCTCATCCCATCAAATCAAATTCATTTCTCGGCCACCTGCAGCTTGACAAGCACTGTCCTGGTGGTGCTTCTCAGTGCTCTGAGTCTCACCTGCACCAGAACCCCCCAGGCTCTCCCTATGACTCGGTCAGAGTCTGGGGCCAGGGCGGACCTGGGAAGCTGCATTTGAACAACTCATCCCCAGTTGGTTCTGCTGCTTACTCCGGCTTCAAAACCCAGCCCCAGACCAGGCCTGCTTTGTCAATGCTGTGGCCTCCCCCCTAGTTGAACTGGGCAGCTGGGGCCAGAGATAAGTCTTGGTTTTGAGGCTAGACCTGGGTTCGAATCCAGCCTCCGGCATATGTGGCCTGGGGCCAGTGGTTTAAGCTCTGCATACCTCAACCACAGTGCAGATCTGCAGTCCCTGCCCTGCAATTCTGGAGCCTAACTGCCCACTTCTTTTTTTTCTTTTTCTGGTCTTACTGCGAGGCATGAGGGATCTTAGCTCCCTGACCAGGAATCGAACCTGCACCCCCTGCAGTGGAAGTGCAGATCCCTAACCACTGGACCGCCCGGGAATTCCCCTGCCCACTTCTAATATCCAAAACATGCAAGAATTTGCAATTCATTTGGTGGCAAGACCAGACTTACTGACCCCAGTTTGTTAGGAGTCTTTACACATTTTGCTGTCAAAATGTTACAGCATTTGATGACAGGCTGTTCTTCAGCAAGTAGGATGTTCACTGTTCTAAAATCTGGAAAATTTTGAAACACATCTGTCTTCATCTTAGGTTTCAGCTAAGGGAGTGTGGGCCCTGGGCCTCTCTCCTGAGGATTGAAGAAGAAGCCCTGACATGCAGCAGGCATTCTATAAACGGTAGCTGAGATCACCAGCAGCCCCCAGACACACACACACCACACACATACTCTCTCTCTCTCTCTCTCTCTGTCTCTGTCACATTCTCTTTTCCTGATGGCCTGTGGAGGTCTGGGCAGGGTCTGCCCTGAGGGTGAGGAGGAAGAAGAGGAGGAGACTGCGGCCTATCTCCTTTTTTCTGATCACCGCTGACCTTGCCCCTGCACCCCCAGAGATGACCAAGAGAGACGTGCCAGGCTTCGCCATCGGGGGCCTGAGCGGGGGTGAGAGCAAGGGCCAGTTCTGGAGGATGGTGGCGCTGAGCACCTCAAGGCTGCCTAAGGACAAGCCCCGATACCTGATGGGGGTCGGGTATGTGGAGGAGAGGGGAGATAGCCCTGCCTGCGGGGAGGGGATTCCTGGGAAACCCTGCCTCTGGGGGTCGGGGAGGGGGAAGGACACAGCCCTGCTTGGGAGGGAACTGAGGAGGACATGGCCCTCTGCTGGGGGTGGTTCTGAGGGTACCAGTCTTGGGGAGGGGGGCCCTGGGTATGTGACCAGGGCTTGAGGTTCTCTGCTCCCCTCCCCCATGGCCCCACCCCCAGCTATGCCACTGATCTGGTGGTCTGCGTGGCTCTCGGATGCGACATGTTTGACTGCGTCTTCCCCACACGGACAGCGGTGAGGCCCTTGGCAGCGGAAAGACTGGAGAGGGATTGCGGGGGCCAAGGCGGGGGGGGGGGAAGACCTGGTTGACCCACCTTCCCCTCCCTCTGTCCACCCCCAGCGCTTTGGCTCTGCCCTGGTGCCCACGGGGAACCTGCAGCTGAAGAAGAAACAGTATGAGAAAGACTTCCGCCCCATAGACGCAGAGTGTGCCTGTCCCACCTGCCAGAAGTAGGGGAGGACGGAGCCTGGGGTCAGGGGGAGGGCAGGGAGGGGGGAAGGACCCGGCACTGCTAAGCCCCCTCCTTCTGTCCCCAGGCACAGCCGGGCCTTCCTGCACACACTGCTCCATAGCGACAACACGGCGGCCCTGCACCACCTCACTGTCCACAACATCGCCTATCAGGTGGGCCTGTAGTTGGGAGGGGCGAGGCGAGGGGGACGGGGGTCTCCCATGTGCGGTGGCTGATTGCTGACCCCCCCCCGCAGCTGCGGCTGATGAGCGCTGTGCGCGCCAGCATCGTGGAGAAGCGCTTCCCCGACTTCGTGAGGGACTTTATGGGCACCATGTATGGGGACCCCACCCTCTGTCCCTCCTGGGCCACTGAAGCCTTGGCCTCTGTGGGAATCACACTGGGATGACCCCGCTTGGGGGAGGGAGGGAGGGAGGGAGGGGATGGGAGATATTGAAGGATTTTTTTTTTTTTTTTAAATTCTAACCTAGAGTGTGTGCGTGTCTTCTTGGGGAGGTGGCCTGTCTAGGTTCCCTTCCTGGTCTGAGTGTCACTGGGGCCCATGTCCCCCCCCACCCCCAATTGATAATAACAACAAGTAACCATAGCAGCAGTTGTTATCTGGAAACTGAGCATGTAGGAAGTGCTCAGAGTGGGAGCTGCATTCCTTTCCTGTGGCTCAGGCCCCCCAGCCATCCTGGGGATGGGGAAACAGGTCCAGGGAGGGGGAAGTCACTTGCCAAGGTCACCATCAAGGAAGAAGCACCTGGGCTCCAAAGCTCTGGTTCTTGACCTTGACTCTTCAGACTTAATCTAGTTGTCAGTAAACACAGTGATGATAACATGTGTGATCTAGAAGGTGCTTATACTGTGCCTGGCACTGTTCTAAATGGTCGTCAAGTGTATTTAATTCTTGCAACTTTATGGTTCCCCCCATTTTACAGATGAGGAAACTGAGAAATGAAGGCACTTGGTCATTATCACCCAGCAAATAAACAGGCCTAGGATCTAATCCAGATATGGCCAATTACAGAGCTGGTGGTGCTCTTAGAAGCTACAGTTTTTTAAACTGAAAAAGTAACACTTGTAGGATCTACCATTCAAATATCATAATTATCAATTTGTGTATTCTTCCATAAATTTTCCATGTGTACATTTTTTCATGAATGTCAGCATCCTATACATGCAGTTCTGTACCTTGCTTTTTTTCCTTCTCTTAGTGTATCTCAAATTGTTTACACATCAGTACATGAAAACTTCCTCAATCTTGTTTACTCATCTATGGATGAGCAGTTAGGGTGTTTCCAGGTTTCTGTGATCATGGTCAAGGCTGCAGTGCCAAACATTGTCAGTCTTTTTGCCTATCTCTGAGACTAATAGTTTTGGGTCATGGAGCAGGCCACCTTTGGCCACTCTGCCATCCTCCTACTCCTTCTTTCTCCATTCCCCTGTTACCAACCCGCTCTGTCAGACTACTTCCCCACCTCCTTTGCTGCTAGCTCCTTACTGGGCTGTCTCTTTGGCCTATCTATGCCCAGCATAATCAAATCATTTGTCTTAAAATTGTTCCACCTATTCCCGGCCTCTTTTCCAAGTGGTCAAGAGTTCCCAGTTCCCAGAACTCCCAACGTTACCTGCAAAGTAACGTGTTTTTTCCTGGGGAAAGGGTCCGTTGAGTTTCATTGGGTACTCGAAAAGATCCAGGGGCTTCCCTGGAAGAATCCGCCTGCCAATGCAGGGAACACGGGTTCGAACCCTGGTCCGGGAAGATCCCACGTGCTGCGAAGCAACTAAGCCCGTGCACCACAACTACTGAGCCTGTGCTCTAGAGCCCGCCAGCCACAACTACTGAGCCCGCGTGCCACAACCACTGAAGCCCGCATGCCTAGAGCCCATGTTCCACAAGAGAAGCCACTGCAATGAGAAGCCCACGCACTGCAACAAAGAGTAGCCCCTGCTCGCTGCAACTAGAGAAAGCCCACACGCAGTGAAGACCCAACACAGACAAAAATAAAAAAAAAATAAATTTATTTTAAAAAAAAAAAGATCCAAGATGCGCTGAAGTTCAAGAGGCAGGGGAACAACGTTGGAGCGTTAGCCGCATCAAGACAGGCGTGAGCGAAAGGTATTCCTAGGGGAGAGCACAGCGTTTGCAAGGGCATGGAGACGACTTAATAGGAATGAAAGTGGGAGCCAGCGAGGCCGTGCTAGACTGCCTCTCCCTAGGAACCATTAACAGCCTAACTCTCACCTTCGAAGTGCATTGGGACCCCGCGCAGGGAGCTGATTTGCAAGCCCGGGCCCGAGACGCATTCTGGGACTTTTAGTTTTCTCTAGAGCCCAGAAACTCACAAGTGAGGATCGCCACTGCGTCCTACCAGGAGGTGGCGCGCGTTGGCGAGTACTGCGGGCCTACCCTCTGCTCCGGAAGACTCCAGTAGACACGACAATCGCAAGAACGAACGGGAGGAAGTTCTTTGATGGACAGGTACAGTTTTCAATCAGAGTCAAGATTCGGAGGTTAAGTCCCACTCTCTTGATTTGTTGGCTGATGGAACGGGGTGATATTTATATAAACCAATGGGAAATTTTTAGGGAACTAGGTAGCGTCAAGTGACAGACTGCGGTTAAGAGCCGATCCCTAGTATCATTGGCCAGCTTTGTTGACTGGCGGTCTCCCTGCCAATAAGATTGGTGGATGTTCCTGCTATCCTGGAACTGCCCCTAATAGGCGGGGGCCAAAATGCCTTTTCTCGAAACACCGCCTCCGGGCCTGGATAACTCGCTTCCCGCCGCTATTGGCTTCTAGCACAACAGCGACAGTTCTTTTGTCCAATGAGTCCGAGAGAAGGTCCCCAGGGGGAAGACTCATTTGGCCGTAGGGCCGTGCTTCGCTTTCATTGGCTTGTGTGCACGAGTGACAGCGCAGCCGACCAATCGAGAGTGGCGCGAGGGCTTTGGGTGCAGCCCCAGGGCCCGGGCGGGAGGTCGCTTGGGTCGGGTGTTGCCTGAGGACCGGATGAGGCGGCGACCGTGAGGCCGAGCCGGGAGCGGGCGTCGCGCCGAGGCCCGGGCGGGCGGGGAGCAACGGCCGCGGACGCCGCGGGGCCGCATCGTCGAGGGCCAGGGGCGGGCGGGGAGCGCTGGGCTCTCGGGCCGGGGCCGCCGGCGCCATGGGCAACCGCGGGATGGAAGAGCTGATCCCGCTGGTCAACAAGCTGCAGGATGCCTTCAGCTCCATCGGCCAGAGCTGCCACCTGGACCTGCCGCAGATCGCCGTGGTGGGCGGCCAGAGCGCCGGCAAGAGCTCGGTGCTCGAGAACTTCGTGGGCCGGTGAGCGAGCGGGGCGGCGACAGCGGGCAGGCGGCGGCCTAGGGCGCGGAGGGCGGACCGGGAATGGCGCGTCCTGCGCCGCCGGCGTAACTGCGGCGCTTGCGTGCCCGCGACGGGGCCGGGGACAGGGAGGCGGGCCCTGTGGGACGCCCTGGGCGGAGGGCTCCCTGCCGGGGCTGGGGGGCGTGGGCCAGGAGGTGCGGTGAACCCCCGCCGACTCTCTGGCCCCCGGCTGTAGTGGGTGAATTATGCCATCTGGTTGTCTGTGGGTCAGGGATAGGTTCCCCTTCTCTGTCCGAAACCTGTCACCTAGATATCTATTGGGCCGATCCCTGCGGTCTGGCTGGCTGTTCATTTATCTGGAGCAGTTTCTGTCGTCTGGTTGGCTGTCTCTCTGTCCTGGATAGGTTTCCCCGCCGCCACCATTTGGCTATCCATCTGTCCAGTACCGCAGGGCAGCCCCCTGCTGCCTGGCTAGCTATCCAGGATGACCTGTCCTGTCTGGTTGCCCATCCGTGCCCTTCCCAGACTTTAACACTTAGATATTCCTCTGTTGGGTTACCCAGCTGGCCTCTGCTGTCTGTCTGACTGGCTGGCTGGACCTAGGAGACCCTGTTGTCTGGCTCTCCTGGGCTGACTCTTCAACTTGGTGCCTGGTGAACGCTGGCTCCTCTCTTCCAAGTGGACCCATTTGTTTGTCTGTCCTGGTGTCTGTCCTTCTCCTAATCTGCCTGTCAATGCCCTAGCCATCACCTCTGTGGCAGGGGGTGGTGGGAGCATGCAGAGGAGAAGGGAGCTGAAGGATGAGACCTGAACTCCTTTCTATTGGAAGTAGGACCCCAGGGGGAACTTCCTCCAGGAGTCTTTCCTGGCCCATGTCAGGGTGCCTCCGGGGCCCTGGGACATAGGGTCCCAACCCCAAGCTAAAGCCTGAAAATTGGGGGCCCTCCTTGGATCCTGGGAAGGAACTTCTTGCCTGATTAGGTTGTGGTGGCAAGAGCTGGTATACAGCCTTCCCTAGGCAGCCCTGAGAAGCCTCAGATTGCCCATCTGTCCAGTGGACAAATTCCACTCTCTGGGCTGTTTCCAGGATTCAGGAAGCTAATGGATGCGAATGGACCCTGTGGCCACTGAGGGCGGTTGGTTCTCCCCTCTCCCTTCCCCCACCTCTTGTCCTTCTGCCTCCCAGATGGGTGGCCACTTCTGCATTCTGGGAAGGACTCCATTTGTGACTGTGGCTGCCAAATAATAACGTCATAGTCATCATTATTATTATTGTTGTTATCAATGTTAAGAGGTAATGTTCATCCAGCAGGCCCCAAGCTGAGTTGTTTCTTGGTTCAGCTCAGAAAAGACTCGCTATTTGCCCAAGGCCACCAGGCTGGCACTCAGTGGAGCCCAGCTGGGCGCCCAGCCCCGCCCCTGCCTTCCCAGAGGCCTGGGGTTTTGCTCCCAGCAGCACGAATTTCCTCCTTTGCTGCTTTGTCTCTGGCGCAATGCCCTCTGTCTACTGTGGCGGAAAGGTGTGTACTTGGGATCAGCGCGGCCTGGGTTGAGCCTCGGGCTGGGCTGTGGGCCCCCTGCTTGGCCATCTTCCCGTCTGCCCAGGCTTCCGGTGAGCGTCTGTAAAGCTCTCTCCATTTCACCTGCCTTGTGACCTCGCACAGATTGTTTGACCTCTTTGAGCCTTAGTTTCCCCTCTGAAAAATGGGGCGATGGACCCTCAACAAGACTGTTGCAAGGATGCAGTGACATGGTGTGTTGAAAGTGCTCACTTAGCATGGTGCCTGGCGCACAGTAGGTGTACTTGGATGGGGCTGTTACTCCCCAGGCTGGTTCCTTCCATATCGACAACAAAGGCTAGTCAGAATTAAAAGTGCTCTGCAGTTACACACTGGACTTCATTTAAGCCTTATGAGACTGGCACTGCTGTGATCCCATTTTCTAGAGCAGAAAACTGAGGCTCAGAGAGCTGAGCATTCTTGCTCGAGGTTGTTCAGTGAGGGATTGAGGGCTCTGGGTTGGAGACCCCTGGTCTCTCTCCCATCCCCACCTCTTCTCGGGCCCCCTGCCCTTCACCTTTCCCTCCCACCCACCCTGGCATCTGGCAACGGCCAACTGCTATTGAGCTGGCTCCTGTGGCGACCTCCTCC